GCAAGATGCTGGAAGCACTAGGTAGCGTCTTTTTTTTTTTTTTCTCTTTCTTTTTTCCTTTTTTTTCTTTCTTTTTTTTTTTAATTTTTCCTTAAGCTCTGGAATCTGAGGGCCATTTGCTTATGGTGGGTAGAAATTGCACAATGCACCTGGCACTGGAATTCAGAAGACTGACTGTCCTTAATCTTGTTTAAGGCACATCAGTTCTTGCCTGACGCCCTTCCCAGGAGATAGAGAAGTGTTTAGCTCAGTGGCTGCTGAAGTCTTCTCCTTTGGTTTTGGACAGGAGACCACCCTTTGTGTTGCTTGTTAGTGGGCAGTAAAAGGCAATTCACGTGATTCACGGCTCAGGTGATTCAAGTGATTTTCAGGGGGGACCTATGAAGTCAGTCACTGGGTACCTTGATGCTTTTTGTGACACCAGTCCTCTGTGTTGCTAATAGTACTCTCTTTGCTACCTAACAGAAAAATCTTCTGGGACAGTTATTAGCTCTGCAGCCTTAAAACATTATTGAGGGTTGGACTCTAAGTGCTTTGGTCTGCTCAGGCAGAGTGGTGGATACTGTCTGTCACCTTGGTTTCACCATCTCCTCAAACTTGGAAAAGATCCTGAGAAGCTGATCTGAAGTACTGAAAGCTATGGATTGGCAATTATTCTGTTGAGGATTTTTTGGTGGGTGGGATGGGGATTGTGGGTACAATTAAATTTGGTAGTGACACAAGTAACAGCAGCTTTTTCTGATGTTAGGTTTAGAAATGTAGTGATACTGTATTTCTGCAGCCTTCGAAATGGTGTCAGAGTAGCTCACCAGTAGCAGAACAGGTAACTGTCTTTGTAGAAAATGTGGAAAGATGCAATTAAGGAATTTAAGTAAAAGGCATCTTAAGTGGTTTCACAAAACTAGTGTTGAAGCAGCTGAAAACTGAGTCTGAGACAAGTCATTCCAGAGTGCTGTGACCTTGCTTCCCAGAAGAGAGTCAGTTTATCTCTCTAAAGCTGTTGGGAGTGCAGCTGTGACTCCTGAAAGTGCAGTCATAACTATCCCCAAACAGCCTGAAAGGGCTTTCTTGTTGATCTCAGGCTGAAATAATCATAGTGATTTCCCTATGTAAACTCCCTTTTCCAAGGATTGGTTCACCTAATATATTTATATGCACATACTCTTAAACTCTCAAAAAAATAAACACCTAGTACACTCTGCTCCTTGTACAGAGCTGTGTGGCTTTCAAAAGCAGAATTGCAGAAATACTGCCATTTGCAGTGCAGAGAAGCAAACCTTCCCTTCTTCCTTGCAAAAGTGAGAATGAAAATGCTTTGGCATATAGCTTTGATTTGAACTGAAAAACCTCTGGATTTCAGAGCTGCTTTTAAAGCAAAGGGCTACTTTGGCTTTTGATCCTCTTAAGCTGGGTTATTTGATGTGAAAAACGTCCTGAGTACTCTGCTGCAGAGGGGAGCAGCTTTTCAGTTCTCTGTGTGTGGCTTCAGGAGAGGGCCTGGCAGAGCATGGGGTGGTGGGGGGCTCAGGGGGGCCTGGTTGCACAGCTCTGTAAATAAAGGGGCCTCTATTCTTTGGATTCTTTTGCTGGAACTAAATATCATGATCAGTGAAACTCTTACCTCATTAAAGGAACAAGGCAGCTCCTCCAGCCCATGCGCAGTGCTGCAGTGTGGTTTATTCTGAGCTGATTTGCTGAACAGATAAAGGGAGTTTTAACCTAAGAATGGCATGTAATGTATGACCTTGGCTTTTGAAAGGTTTATTTTTGTTCTTTTGACAAAATAAGGTTTTAATATTAAATATGGGGTTGGATTTGACTTGGCAGATACCAGAGCCTTCTATTACTGCTGTAGTCATAATATAAAACTATCTGATGTGTGCCAGTGAGCATGCAGCAAGCCAAGAATTTCTCCATCAGTGTTTATTTTTCTGAAAACTTACCCAGTTGCTTTGCAGTTGGGGTGGCTAAAAAGGTGATGTGTCCTTGTGTTGGAGGGAGCAAAGTGGTGGTGGGCACAAGACTCTTTATACTTAGCATCTTTAGTTTTGGGGCAAAATAGGGATTCCCCCGCCCCTTCGTGTTTTAGAAGTGTTTAGAAGAAACTTTCACTCAAAACTCCAGGGTTCACCAGAACCAAGGCATAAAACAAACTATGTGAAATATTCAGATCTGTTAGTACAGAAATTTAATGCTGTACTGCAGTTTTCAGTTTGTGTAGCCGGGGCCATGCAGGGATACAAAATACTAATTCTGAGGCTTTCTCCCTGCACATGTTCCATGTCAGATCATCATCTTACAGTAAAGCTGAGGTGCTTTTGGACTGCTGTGCTGCAAGAATTTGACTGAAGAAATGACCTGTAAAGCACTTTAGTGCTGAGATGCTGAACTAAGCTCCAAAGTCCTTTTACTAAATTGGCTGTAGTTTGAATTGGTTACCTTCAAATTTACACCACTACCACCCTACCCCCTAAAAAAACCCAAAAAAACTAAAAAAAAAAAAACCCCACTAAAACCCAAAAACAAACAAACAAACCCCCCCAAAAAAACCCAACAAAAACACCCAACCAACCTAGCCATGACCAGAAAAACCTACATCAAACCTATCATCTCATTCCTCATTTCTCTGGCTCTCAGAGAAACCAGCCCCACATAGTGCCAGAATCTAGTTTCTGTAGATCAAAGGCTGTAGTCAAAGTGTGTTGCCTCTGCAGCTGGCACAGGAGTTGTGTCAGGCTGACCTGCTGGGAATGCTTTCCACTGGAAAGGGAGCAGGTTGGTGCAGGTACAGGTAGCAGAGAACGTGGGGAGGTCTGTGGAAGAGTTCATGGCTTCCATGTGCTTTAGCAAGATTTCTTCCATCTGTGTATTGTTACCCTTCCACCCAGTTTTTTTGTGGAAATGAGGCTTGTTTGGTCTTTTTGTTCTGGAAATATTCTTAGGGTTTTTAGCTTGTTCATTGACTGTACCTGGATTAAGGTGGTTGATTTTCTAGAAATTTTCTGGAAGTTTGGGGGAAATTTGGAACTTACAGGAAGAACCAAAAGTTTCAAAATCTGCAAGCCTGCAAGATGTGGTGAATTTTTTGTCCAGTTTCTTGACATCCTCTTAAGATTGTCTCAACTGCTTAAGCACTTACTCTAAAAGGGAGAGACTGCCATGAGGACCCAGTGTTTCCACATGGAATAGGGAGGAGTATCTCTGTCCTTGTGAGAGATGATAAGCCTTTTGCTCTTTCTTCCATTGGCACGTGTATCTGGAGATCTTGGGTTTCTAACTGGGAAAAATAATTTCCCATGCTATTTGCCTCTCCACTAGCAGACTGATGCATCCTTATCACAAATTTTGAAGCTGGGGCCAGTGTGAGCACCTATAGTAAAAGGGATCTCTGTAAGAGAAGCCAAGCTGTGTAACTTGGCTATTGGATAGTTCTCTGTGATTTTCCTATACCAAGGGTCAGAAGCATACTGGAAGGTTGTAGGTCTGTGCAGCTCCTGAAGCTTATGTCTGCCTCCATTCTCAGGTACATCCCCCAGACCTCATCCAGGAGCTCTGGTCCTGGATTATGGTCCATTGTTTAATGAAATAAATTCCATGGCAACTGTTGAAACTACATTGAACTTACCTTCAAATACAAGACTTTTATTAAGATTAAAAGCAAAATCTTTGGCAGCAATACTGACAAAATTACTATGCTAATTACATTCTAAATATTAATATTTCTTTCTATGAAAGACCTGTCTAAATTAAGCATAAAGTATTTCCAAAGTAATCACGAGTATTCAAAGCCACATATGTCACAATTTCCTCAAAACCAGATTACCAAGCTAAAATTAAACAGATCAAAGACTCTCACTTTATTGACTGTTACCTCAGAACAGCTGCACAATACAGGTGAATTACATTTTTAAATTTTCCCTGTATTTTTACCAACTTGTGACCATTAACTATTCAAAAACATTTTAAGTGGAATCTTTAAATACAAATCCTTTAGATGCAAATAAAATTCTTCTAAGATTTAACTGTTAATTTGAGAATATAAGCATTGTATGCTGCTGCATTTTCTGAGTGTTCTTTGGAAGATACATTTTGAGTCTTTGGGGATTTTTTTTAAATCTTATAAGGGAAGTAGCTTAATGCTTGTTTCCTTACCTTTTTTTTTTTTTTTTTCATTTAGTAGTTCTCTGTTTAAGAGTCACACTACCGTAGGAGCAAATCCATTTAAGTAATGTTGTCTGTCAGCTTTACTGCTTTGTTACTACTGGTGTGTTGTGATCAGCAATGTTCTCCTAAATACAAGTGTTGCTTTAGATTTGATGGATGCTCACCTAAACACTTCTGTTACTCAGTAATTTTCATATGGATCAATGTAAAGCATGTGTGGTCTTCTTTAAACAGTTATTTTTGGGAAGCAGAGATCCAAGAGGTTAAAAAAAAAAGCCCACTGAACTCTAGCTCATTTCATATTAGAAATAAATCTGTGTTGTTTCAGAACATGCTTTGAAAGGAGGAAATTCAATAGGGAGCCATCTTACTTTCCAAAAAATTTAGCTGTGAAACATCAGCTCGAAGGCTTTTTGTTAACTTTGATCTTTCTTAAAACTGACCCATTCATAATGTGTTTCAGTTTCTGGTTTATGCTTTTTCCTGGAATCAGTTCTTGAAAATGATCCACTTTGAAGCATTTTTATTTCTCCCTTTAAGAAATATTTCTTTTTTTTCCTTACTAACTGATATGTGAAACTGATAAAACACTATAGGGATGCTGGTTGTCCAAGGTACAACTTTGTGTTTGTGAGGCTGCCACTGTCCTGTATCAGTCAGTTAGGTAGACCTGTAGTGTGGTTACAGAACACAGGATCCACTGCACATCCAGATTCCACTCCCTGGATGGCTGGTTCTGTGAGGAGAACACTCCTCCTTTTTCCATGGTCCTCATCTTAGATCCTGCTCTGGTTGCAAAAAGTATGTAATGACTTTTTATTTTTCATTGCCTCCAGGTTTACAGGAACAGATGGACCGAGTGGTTTCGGGTTTGAGCTGACATTCCGACTGAAGAGAGAGACGGGGGAGTCGGCACCACCCACCTGGCCAGCAGAGCTGATGCAAGGCTTGGCCAGATACGTCTTCCAGTCAGGTACCACAGGGTTAATGCACAGCCTTGCTTTTTCCTGCTCTGCTTCTGAAGGGCCACATCTGGTACAGGGTGTGACACTTGTCTCATCAGCACTCAGTCACATCTTGGGAATTGTTTTTGTGTGGGAACCCAAAAGAGTGTGTTCCTTCCTCCAGGCCGGCCTGAAGGGACAAAACCAGTTTTTGTAAAGGTTACTGCAAATCCTGAGTATTGAAAATCTGAAGTTACATAAGAGTCAGTAACTATAGGAAGTCTGCCCCCTGCATAGTTGGATTCACAGAATTGCAGAAGCACAGAATGAAATAGGTTGGAAAAGACATTTGAGATCAAGTCCAACCTATGATCTAACATCTCTTCATTAACTAAACTATGGTGCTGAGTGCCATGTCCAGCATCTTCTCTCAGCAAGAAAAACACATTTGCTTATCCTAAATGGCTGAGGAACAGCCGTCTGATGAGGTCTCACTTCTCAGCAGAACTTCCAAAAACATTGGAGCTCCATCACAGGCAAATCCCTTCCAGTGGTCCTGCAGCCAAGCAGTAGCAATGCATATGAACATGGTGTTGTTGAGATGTGAAAATGTAAAAGTCGTAAGGAATGCTAAGGCTGGGAGGGCCAAGGAATTAACAGTTGTGTATCATTACTGCTGGTGGAGAATTGCCAGAAAACTGGGAACCAGGGTACCTACAAATCATCCTCTTGCACTCTTCTTTCATAGTTTCATTTACATCAGTAGAGTGAATGTTTTAGTGCCAGCACATGAAAACCTGTGGAATGGCTGATGGCTAATGTACTTGAAAGGCACTTTCCAGCATCACAAGAACTGAATGAAAATATTTAAAGAACATTTTTTAACCTAATTTGAGGTCCTTTACAGGTAAAGTACCTTCTAAATTGATGATTATTGAATTTGTAGCATTTGGTACCTGCTGAACTAGTTCATAAATTGCTCAGTAACTTCTGATTCTGCTGATGGTTTTCAGTCGGCTGGTTGACTCTCAAAGGGAAAAGGTTTGGGTAAGCACAGGACTGCTCTGCTAACCTCTGTAACAAATCTGAGGAATTGCCAATCTTGTGGGTATTTTTCTGGATATTGGTAGACATAGTTCAGTGCCAGCCCAGATTATTGGTTGTGTTTTTGTAACCCTTGCTGTGTAGCTGTCTTCCACAGTTACCATCCAAAATTTGTCTCACTTCTCTGTCTTGATTTTTACAACTGTTAAGCATCTAAATCTATGAGACTGTCATTATTTTTTACATTGTTTGAGATTCCCATCCTGCCTAACCTGTATTGCACAGCAGCTTTTTGGTACTGAGCATGCAGTGATGAATTCATACTCACATTTTCTATGCAGTGATCGCAGGGTCTGAAGAAAACATCTGAGTCTCAAGTCTCCCTCTTAGATACAAAGTAATGTACGTGTTATGTGTGAAGTTATACTAAATATCTTACGTCCCCTTTGGAACATTTCAAATTTCCTAGTCCAGGCAGCTGCTTGTTGGTCACTGTCTTTTCATGCGTGAGAAGAGGTCTGTGGAGTGAAATGGGATTTGGAAGGGTACTTAAGAGCAAACTTCTTGGTAACTAAGCTGGCAGTCAGGCAGAGACTTCCCTTGTTTGATTCCTGTAAAAATGCAGTCCCATCTTTTTGACCTCAAAGCCAAATAACTGTTTTTAGAATGAAAAGAGTGGCTGTGCCCATGCTTATCAATCTGGCATGAACCACCCTCCAGTGTTATCTTCTGCTTATCCATGCTGGTTTTTACTTTATATCCACCATGACTCTTTAAAGGCACACAAATTCATCCATGCTGATAGATTCTAGCCTCTGGGTGTTTAGTTTTCAATTTGCCTTACGAAAAACAACAGTGTATGAATCATAAATTGACTTCTTTCTTTGACTGTGTAATTGGGTGTGAGCCAATACCATGCTTATCATACAATGGGCAAACCACATGCTGGGTTACCTTAGGAAAAGTATGAACAGCAGACAGAGGGAAGTTATTACCTCTTTGGCATGGCACTGGGAAGGGCTTGCTTAAAATATTGTGTCCTGTTTTGGGCCTTTAAGAGATACTGAAAAACTGGAGAGTGTTCAAGGTGGTCAGGGTTCTAGGGCATGTGAGCCATGAGGAGAGCTGGAGGGAGCAGGGCCAGTTTAGCCTGGGAAAAGAATGTGCAGGGTGATCTAATTGGAGCCTACAGCTGTAGGGAGGGTAGTTACAAGATTGTGGGGTCAAGACTTAGATAGTACATCAAAGGGCTACAGCTCTGAATTGCAGTATGGGAGGCCCTGGAAAAGCTTCAAGGAAAACTTGCTCACAAGGAGAGTGGCAAAGGACAGGGAATGGTTTATAAGAGAGATGCTGGAACTCCATTCCTGGAAAGGTTCAGGACTTAGCTCCACAAAGCTAAGTTGATCCTGATCTAGCATTGGGGATGGCTCCACTTCAAATAGGGAGGCTGGATAAGAGACCTGCAACAGCCTCTTAAAATATTACAGAAGTGTTGGATTTTGGGCGTTTTTTTCATGCTGCTTTATGCTCTTCAGCAAGCAGCTGTGTGTTGTCACTGACTGTTACCAGCCATTCCTTGCCTTGCATAAAACAAATCTGTATGCTGTTGCAACAAGGGGAAAAGCTCTAGTTTTATTTTAGTACAAATTTGATTATCACATGTCTCTTTTAGAAAAAAATTTTCTCAGGCTAAAATCGTCTGGTTAATAATAGACATCACATTAATCCTGCCAAGATGATGCATTTAAAAGTAAGACTTGTAATGGGGCCTATTTTATCATGTTTCTTCTTGATCTTTCAGGGCAATGCCAGTTGACCACAGCTAGATGCAGTAATTTTCTAATGTAGTCAAAGATCTCTCACTCCATTGCTCTGAAGAGTCTCCAGTACTCCTGCTACATCTGACGTGTCCGGCTTTATTTTGTTGTATTCCCTTGAGCTGTCTTGTCTCAGAATGGCAGTATCCAGAGCAGTTCCTGTGCTCTTCCTTATGTCACTCCTGGGTAATCAGGCACCCAGTCCTCAGCAGTGTTACTTTCTTTTCTGTCTGGTAGAGTTTCCCCCAACTCTTGCAGAGCCAAGTGAGTTTCTGCCATTGTTTTTTCCTTTTTGTTACAGGACTTCTCTATTCTGATGTTGAAACTTTAAAACTGTGAAGTGTTTGAAGGGTTAGTTCTTCTGAAGCCCATTGGGCATGAAGCAGGCTGTGGCATGACAGCATTGTTTTACATGATGAAAGGTTTCTTTTTGCTCAAGTTCTTTCTGACTGTAGTGCTTAGAGCATTTGTCAAATGAAACTCTGGTAAGTGTTGTTTAACTCTAAAGTTAACTCTAAGTGTTGTTTAACTCATGTTCTTTAATGTCATCCTCTTCAGTTGTTTAAAAAAAAAGAAAACAAACTATGGTGTCTCTTTAATACTCCAAAGTAGCCTTAAAAACATTTGATGAACTGAAACAACTGAAGTAAAGCTTATGAATTCACTGTGAACAAGAAGCAAGAAAAATAATAAAATCAGCAGAAACTTTTTGGATAGGCTCCAAGCACTTTCACATGTCAGAAAATTGTTTACTCTGAAAGCTGTACTAAGAGCTAAATTATTGTCTCTTGATAAAAGCCAACTTTTTAGTTATCATCGAGGTGTGCTGCTGAGTCCAGTTCAAGCTGGGGGTGAGTAAGGTGTAGTCATACTCCTGCTGAGCCTGAGCATTTTCAGGTGGTGATGACTGAGTTAAATATTCACCTAGCAGCTACTGCTGTCTTAAATATTATTCCTGTGTATTGCAATTGCAAAGCATGTCTCATTGCAAGTGATGTATTTTTCTAACAAACGCTTCTAGGCAAATGAATGTTGCATTGCTTTGTTTCTCTCTCTCCTGCACTGTGGCAGTGCTTTAGAAAAGCAATCTTCTGCATTGAATTTCAGATCTCTTTCAGCCTTGGCTTCTCTGCTCACCGTAACAAACGCTTGGTGCTTTTGATTAAAGGGCAGTACTTACCCTCCTTCAAACAACACCAAGCTTTCAAGTTTCAAAAAGTTTTATTTGTGGCTTTATCTGTTCTTAATTTTATCACTGTTTGACCATGACCACAAATTCCAACTCTGTTAGTTTTAAAAAATCCCCAAACCTTCAAACCTTGAAAAGGAAACTTTGCACAATTCCGTGACCTTAGCTTGTCATGGTTCATGGGTGTACTGCAAATATCTCATGGTAGAACAAATTTATACTTCAATTCAAACGAAAAGGAAGAAACGCTCTTCCTACAGAAAGCTTATCCAGGTCCAAGGTTTTCTCCTGACACAGGAATAATCCAGTGCAATCAGTTGGGGGAAAGCAGCAGTTCTGAAAGAAGAAAACTATTTGGAGTTACTATTAACAATGAGCTATACCTAAACCAACACACTCTTCATGCTGACAGATAGAAGTGAAATTATTCTGATGTATAAATAGAAGTGTTCTGTGTATTGCATATGATTGGGCCCTACACTGCAAGGGAGAGGGAGAACATTGTATTTCATTTTGGGCTAAAAGCTTCAAGCCAGATGCATCTCAGTTGGAAGGAGACTGGAGGAGAGCAGTAAGAATGATCCAGAGGTCCAGAAAATATGACCTATGAAGGAATGATCAAAAGTTACATTTGTTTAGGCTAGGGAGTAGAAAATGGAAGATGTGAGAACAGTCTTCAAATATGCAAAAGGTTGCTGTAAGGAATAAAGTAATAAATACATTTTTCATGTACCTACTGGGGACAGGAGAGACTAAAAATTCTGTAATTTAACTACTAAAATTTCTGTAAAATAGGCTTAGGGTTTGTCATTAGGAGAACTTCTGAATGGCAAGTGCAGTGACACATTTGGATAGTGGCAGATTCCCTATTGCTGCATATCATTGAGAATAAATCAAACTGTTCTTTATGGATATTTTTCAGGCAGAGTTTATCCTTCCTTTAGGCAAGGGCAGAGTGGGAGCCTTCTTAGTCTCA